GAGGTATTTACCCCTCTCTGGCAATACAACAGGAGTCGTGTTAGGACTTTCAAATACAAAATAGATCTCATGGAAGTTTTTGCCAGTATCAAAGTATGAAAAATAAGAATAGGTTTAACCCTGCTCTGACAATAAAACAGGAGTTGTGTTAAGACGTTCAAACACCAAGGCATCAAGTCTGTATTAACCACATGTCCTTGTGGCAAAACATGCAAACAATTTGCTCTGATAATAGAAACATTGTCTTAGAAACTGATTGGCCTACACCAGAGACAGCCTTCTTTATTATGGCCTTGTCTCATCAGTGTCAAACCAGAGAACGCCAAAAGGCCGAACACAAAGGGTAAAACCTATTCTTATTTTTCATCATTTTGTATCCTGGCAAAAAGGTCCGACAGATACAGATTACGTTTCGCAACGGTGCCTGACGAGGCTACCTCGTCCATGTGCCCATGCATCCGTGTGTCCATCCGTGTGTCTATCCATAGGTGTGTCCATTCGTTTGTCCATCTGTGTGTACATCCGTGCATCTGTCCGTGTGTCTGTCTCTGTGTCCATCCGTGTGTCTATCCGTCTGTCATTCCGTGCGTCCGTCTGTCCGCGTGTGTCTGTCCGTCTGTCAGAGGGCACATCACAAGTAAACTACAAAACCCCCAAATCACAGTACTTAGATGCTCATCCACTCGTGGTACTTCCAAAACGGCATTTTTGCTACGAAAGGAAACTAATGTTGTTGCGAGTATCGGTGCGATTCGTGCGCGCGTGGGTGTAAGGCACATGCGTGCTCGAACGCGTGTGCCTCGCGCAGCACGTGGAGTTAACGGTGCGCACGCGCGAATATCACCGCACAGCGAAACCCCCCACGACCTTAAAGGGAGGTCGGTCTGTACCCTGCTGCTCATATTTCTCTCCGGAGGTAAAATCCAGCCGATTTGCTGCTCAAATTGAGCGTTCAGAGACGGTGCACTTCTCGGAGGGCAGCGGTGGCAATTCCACATTCCCAGGGCGGAGGTGAGTCTCAAATGGGACAACCGCTGATGACTTCGGCACAAAGTGGAACTTGATTCGTTGACCCCAGATGGATGATGGGTTGAGTGAACACCCTCCACCCCCCTCGGCCAACCAGGATTTGAACTTTGCTCTGCCATTGAGCGACTGTCAAGAGGAGGGGGATAGACACTCAGGGAATTACCACAGTCTGTGTGCCTGTGTCTACACAGTCGTGTGAGACTGAGTGGATAGACTGCATAGACTGTCAAAATATACACAGTGTGTGTGTGTGTGTATATACTGTCTATATATATAGGGGGAAGTGGAGCGGCGATTAGCACGCTGCGCTACGAACCCAGCGAGCCGAGTTCGATTCGTGCTCACGGCCAATACTAGTGATGGTTATCGGAACTGGTCCTGGGCCTCCTTCCCTACGTCGACTCTGGTGCGGTGTGTAAACATCGCCACTGGGGAGACAAAGGCGGCCGGGCGTGGTGCTGGCCACCCACCCCCGTGTGCACCGTGCCGGGCTTTATAGCTGCTCGCTATATGTACTTGCCCCAAAAGTCTGTTTAGGCTATACGGGGGGTCTTTGTCTTTTTATACGTAGCATATTTAATATTTATGCGCATCAATTTTTGTTACTGCAGCAACGGCAGATTAAAGACAATAATAGCAACGTCGTTCATTTCATGCTGGGAGGAAGGGTGACATTCTGAACATCTGCCCTTCAAGGTGTGGATGATATTTGCCCGTGCGCATTTACGGAACGCCGCCACGGTATAACGATCAGTGGACTTGCGATCCAGAGGGCTGTCGGTTCGATTCAAGCTCCTGGCGCGGCGGTGTCTAAAATCTCCCCCACCCCACCACCACCCGATTGGAAGGACACGTGCGGTGGGGTGAAGCGTGGGTGATCCCATCCCAACCCCAGACATCGCGGCCAGCGTTGGGAAGAGTATGAAAAAATTAACCCGTAAAAAAAAGTTTTTCACTATAAATCCTTTATATGCGTGGCGGCTAGAGTCCTCTCGTCCTCTGGCTTGAGATGGCTGCCACCTATGGGTCAGATGATTGCCTGGCACCATTAAGCAATTGGTAATTAAATATAAAAAAAAAATCCTAAAAAGTGTAAAGTTATGGAAAAAAATTTTCACGAAAATAAATTGTCACGCACAACGAGTCTGTGTGCAAAATGTCAGCTCGATTGGATCACGGGAAGTGGGTTAAAAAACGACCGAAATATTTGCACGGTCGTAAGCGCGCAAGCAAGCAAGCAAGTGAACTTAATATAAAGGATTTAAAAATGCCCCCTTGTCGGTGGCTCTCTGGAGCCGCATTTAGGTGGAGGCTTTTTTCCCGGCAGTGGTGGGAGCGAGCAATTTCAGGGCTGCGCCTTTACCGCATTTTCACCTGTGCGCTCGCACACACAGAGACAAGGACCCCTTTACTGGATAGCCCGATGGTAACAGTGGTGTAGGCGAGCGCCTATCAATCCTGGCACTTAGCACGAGGAGGCGTGGGCAGTATAGCACAACCAAGCAATTGCCTGGCTCCTCAATTTTGATATTGACAACTCTGCCTTCACTGTAGCTCAAACCGACCTATCTATACTCGTACACACCGGGACATCGATCCCTCCATTTAATCCCATAGACAATTGGACGTGTGCTGTTAGCGAGCCCTTATTAAGGCCATCATGGCGTACAAAAGGGGGGTAGGGTAGTGTGTCCAGAGTGCCACGGTGGTGAGATGTCAACTGCCTCGCCTGGTATACAGGAGGTCGTGGGTTTGATCCACCTCGATGCCTGCTGTATATTTAGGGGTTGCATGTTCTTCCCCTGGTCGCGTGAATTTTTCTCCGGTTCCTCCAGTTTTTCCCTCCGCATTTAGAATCAACGTCACGCGTTTAAGGTATTCGGCTGATATTAATTTCCGCGTGATGATAAGCCACTTCGTCCAGCTTTCATTTGTCATAGCCAGGCCGCTTCCCAAAAAGAGCTACGTAGCTCACTGGGGCCTTAACTGATAAAATAAAAATTGTTTAGAAGAAAAAGTAAAGAAAAGAAAATTACCATATCCGGCCAACTTTGTCTCCCCAGTCGACGTTCGCACAACAATCTGCCGGGTACTCATTTAAGGATGAATCAAGGCCTTTTGTACCGCTGTGTAGGTTTGGTTTTTGTCTCTGAGGTCATCTCCCACGTGAAAGCCAAGCAAGTGTCTAGCACGGCTCCGCACAACACGGCAGAATTGCGGGCGTCGGGTTGAATCGTTACGTCGGTGATTTCAAATCTATTGACACGACCGTCGCCACCTCTGAACAAAAGAGAATCTCGGAAACCTAGTCCAGGCGGCAAGTCTTCATTCACACATCCATTCTAATGCATACATGGGCTACGCACGGTGAGAACGAAGTTTAACAATAGATGACACATTTACTTGCAAAATAACTCCTGAAAAGGGTCCATGGGAGACTTGATGAGACTTGGCATTCCCCGTGGTGCTAACGCTCCGGCGGTGTGTGTGTGTCCCCGCACCCGCGGGCAAATGTCGTTTGACGTGACGGTAATTCCTTAGCAACCGTGCATTTGTCACATCTGCTCCGTTGTCAAACGGTTCGCGTGGAACATTTTGCCGCGCATGAATCCGCCGCGGCTTTCTGCGCAAGCTTCGCATACGGGTGGGGTGTGCTGTCCGCAGTGACTGTGACATTCCAGAGCCGATAATCGGTGGGGTTGGGGGGGGGGCAGGGGGGTTGGGGGCGAGGTGGTTGGGGGAGGGCAGGGTTGTTGGAGGGGGGGGGCAGGGGGGTTGGGGGGGGCAGGGTGGTTGGGGGGGGCAGGGGGGGGGCAGGGATGTTTTCAATTCGCCTCCGTCCGCAAATAACGCGATGGGCGCCGTTTCGCGCCAATTCGCGAGCGTGCCACCGCGCACGAGCGTGGCCGTAATCGCCCGCTCAGGAGCTGTAGCGGCGGCGGAGGCAGCAAAAAATCACGACTACAACCTCCCCCACCACCCCCGTGGCGCACGCACGGGCGTCGTCACGCACCTGTCGACGTGACGCACAGTCAAGGGCCGGGAGAGCGTAGGCCAAGGCGCGTTACGGTCACGCGGTAAAAACAACAACTAAAACAACTCCCCCCCCACCCCAGAATATTGTCTCTGTCGCACGGCGCGCTGCTTCAGGATGGGGAGCTACGGCGGATGAGCTGCAGGAGGCAAGGGGGGGGGGGAGCGTTGTTTTGTGGTCTTCACGTGTGGAGTTCCCCTGTTGTAGCGTTCTGACCCGGCCCTGCTGGACATCGTTGCATGCCTCCGGTACGAATAAATATTCAGATTCTGAGTCTGAAAGCGGGAGCAAGCCGATGCACCAAAATTATAAAGGAAAAAAAAGACACTCGCAAACCCCATTTTTCAAAATGCATTTTTTTAGGGTGCTGTGACGTTATCGGGAGAGGGGACAAAAACGTCGTCACAGAGAGGCGAGGGAACCAGTGGCTCACTGCCACCTGCGAGTGTCGCGTCGTCAAACAACGGAGCGTGTCTGGATAACGCGAGTCGGGGGAGAGTGGGGGGACTGCAGGCCGCCCGTCGCTCATCCGCCCGCGAGCAGACGGCCGACAGCGGGCGACGGCTCTGAACGACGCTGGTGGAGGGAGGCGGGGGGTTGTGTGCGTGTTGAACTTCTTTCGCACCTTACGTAGCCAACCGTGCTAATCAGGGGGAGGGAGGACAACAAACTAAACACAAACAATAGTTTTAAAGAAATGAGGTTTCAATGTAGATGATTTAAAAGTGCACAGCTCCAGTGGCTTCCAAATATTGGAAGGAAGAGCATTCCAGACGGCCGCAGAAGCGCATCCGAACGCGCCGCGCGATGCAGTGACCGTCAATCTTCGATGGCCAGCCAAAAGCCGGACGACCGGAGTTCGCGCAATGGTGCGAAAGAATTTCAACATCACGCACGCACGCACACACGTGCTCACGCCTGCGCTGTCTTTTTGCAGGTGTCACCTGGATCTCCACGGTGCCCACCCTCATGTCAGTACCGCCCCCGGTCTCCTACGCGGTGATGCAGCAGCAGCAGCAGCCCCAGCCCGGCTACGCGGCACACGCCGCGCTAGCGCCGACGCTCGTCAGCGCCCCCTCGCCCCAGATGTCCCTGCTGCCTCCGCCGCCACCGCCGTACCCAGTCGCTGCCCTGCAGCATCCGCCGGCAAACATGACCGCACCCATGCACCACCCCCACCACAACCACCAGCAGCACCACCACCACCCCCACGCCTTGTACCCGCTGGGGCCAGCGCCGGCGCTACCGCACGCCGCCGGTGGTCTGCCACTACCGCCACAACCGCAGCAGCAACTGCAGCAACTGCAGCAGCAGCAGCCGATGTTGCAGCTGCCACCCCTCACGGCTGTTGGCAGCGGCCTAGCAGGGGGCGACCCGGGGCAGCCCTACGGTTACGGCTACCCCGGCCTCGCGCTGCTGCCCATGCCGCAGCACGGCGCCCATTCCCAGCAGCAGCAGCTGCTGCTGCCGCCGGTCGCCAACGGGCAGCACGGGCAGCACGGGCAGCACGGGCAGCACGGGCAGCCGCCCGCCGCGTACGCCCAGCCGCAGCAGCAGCCGCCGCCGCCACCGGTCAACGGGGCGCCTGCCTCCGCGCCGGCCCAGCCGCCGGCGTATCCGCACGCCGCGCCGGCGAAAGAGGCGACGGCCGGGAGGCCGCAGCGAGCGGATGACGAGCAGCAGCAGCAGCTCCTGCGAGTGACAGCGAGCGGCGATTACGAGTTCACCGACCCGGCCCACCCCAGAGGTAAGTGGCGGTCCTCACCCCTTCGGCCAAGCCCCATCGCAGGGAGCTCTGCTCCACGGCGGCCACGGCGGCCCGCACCGCGGCCCCGCGTGCGGCCGCTGCCGCGGGGAAGCTGCGGGTACGAGCCGAGGGAGCGAGGCGCTGCCGGTATTCACGTTCTCGTCCCTGTGGTTCACCTGTCGTGGTGCCACGCTCCTTGCCATGCAGCCCCCCTCGATGAGCTCAGGCACGAGGCGGTATCGTCGTGAGGATCGTGTTCCACGTTACGCACGCACCGCCGTGCGACCGACGCACCGCGGCAAACCGCCACCGCCACTTGCGACGCTTCTCAGCCTCTTCGAGTTGCCGGTCTAAACAACAATAACGGCCACGCTTGCAGTTCTGCCATAGCTGCTGGCCTAGGCGAGTGTGGTGGTCACATGGGACGTTGCATGCAAGGCACGGCGGGAGTCGCGCCTTGCTGCTGGTCTCTTGTGAGCAGCACACCGTTGCGTGTTGTTGTTGTTTGTTTCCGTTGTTGTTTTTGTTTTCCGATAACGTTCGTTTTTTTTTTATGCCTCCTCCCCCCCCCCCACAAAAATGTCCTTCCAGTCGAATCGATCGTCCGGCGTCGTGCTGTCGCCAGAACGGATACATACGGTCGTGATTTGCGATGTTCGCAGAGAATGCTCGTGATGACACCCCCCCCCCCCCGGTGCCCCCTGTGTGCGGGAGAGAATGGTCCACGGAAGGTGACATCGCAGAACTACTTCTGAGGCCCCTTCGGTTGCCTCCAATTGACACCAGTGCACCGTCCCCACGTGCTCTGCTGAACACGACGTTGTTTGCGCGTGGCAAATCAAATGAAACAAATATATTAATCCACCTGGCTGGATTTTGTTTGTTTGTTACGTATATATATAAACTAAGAGGCCCTCTTTGTGCTAGGCCAGGGGTCGGCAACCAAAATAGCAAGCCGAGAAATGTTTTTGTTGAATTCGGTAACAAAAAAACCCTCAATATTGCAAGAGCCGCAATGCACTGAGGTGAATACGAGACGATGGGTCCTTAATAAATAACTTCACCAAGCAGTCCCTTGAAGATCCACGTGCGGCTCTGGAGCTGCTGGTTGCCGACCCCTTGGCCTAGATCCCACTCCCTCCTCTCCCTCCAGATGTGATGACCTGCCAGTCAGCCAGCCAGCCAGCCAAACTTTATATCAAAACGTTCATTATTATTTGCGCAGCTACTGGCGACCAGGCGGAGGTCATGAAGTCGGGTACGCTTGAGAACACGGTTTAATCACAGGTCCTCGAAATCTGGACTCGAACCCACCACCGCCACCACCACCACCTCCACGGTATTAACCTCCACCTGAGCCACGTGGCCAGCCAGCTCCCCTGGCTGCAGTCCCGCTGACGCGTAACACTGGCAAGATCGATCTCTCCTACAGGACTCTTCGCAAGACCATCCGGAAGTCGTCGTCGGTTGCGGAACGGGGGGCCACGCACAGGTCAGGGCTCGTCGCCGGTTGCCAAAAGTAACGAAAACATTAAATGACAAAATGTAATTTAAAAGTGTTTCTTTGCACAAACCGTTGGCCTCACGGCCTCCTGGGAGTGTGTAATTCTCAGCAGCATTGATTTAGCGCGAGTAAGTCTCTGGACCGGGTTCACAAAGACAAAGATCCCCCCGTATAGCCTTGACGGACTGTCGGGGCAAGTGCTGTTAGCGAGTAGCACCTATGAAGGCCAACACGGCGCACGAGGGGGTGGGTGACCATCACCACGCCCGGCCGCCGTTGTCTCCCCAGTGGCGACGTTCACACACCGCACCAGGTACTCATTTGAGGCTGAGTCGACCTAGGGGAGGCCCAGGGCCGTTTCAGATGATTATCACTGGTGTTGGCCGTGAGCGGGAATCGAACTTGGGTGGCCGGGTTTGTAACGCAGCATGCTAACCGCTACCCACCCATGCGCACGCTATACACTCATGCGAGCACGCTCGAATGAGTGCTGATGTGGCTGCCAGATGTTACAGGCGAGGGCCAACACTTTAGTTTACGGGTTCTAGGCTGTTCAAATTGGCCACTCATTAAACATGGACCCCCCCCCCACCCCCCCACTGTTGCGGGCAGACCAACGCTAGGGAGACCTGCGGGGATTATTCACTTTTGGCAGTGCTGGGCAATTGTGGGGGGGGCACCGCCTACTCCTGGCGAGCCAGGGGGTACAGCTCCTCCGTGATGCCCGTGGGAAGGGAGTTTCACAACATTCGCGCGGTGATCCACCAACCCCCTGCCTCCACAGCGCTGGCTTACAGGCAGCCACGAGCAGCAGCGTAGCCACCACCGCTGATTGTCGGCTGATTTATTCAGCGGTTGTTGTAGTTATTTAGATGTTCCTTTTCGTTAGATCGCGGAAATATAAACGTGTCGTTAAACCCGCCAGCACCGACACAGCCGATTAGTAAGGTTCGTCACTTGCGTTGAGCACACCGATTGTGCGTTGGAGAGTAAGCCCACTACAAAATTTGCAATTCGAATACCGTGACGTTTCGCCGGTAATTACAACAACCATCATCATCGGGCGACAGCCACAGAGCTGTGCAGAAATCGACCAGCATTGTTGGCTTGTTTGACCGGCGGGGTCTTTAGGAACCGCTGAATAAGATTCCCGTTCTCACACGGCTACGGTTCTACCCGAGGACACGTCTGGAGCCTTTTCAAAGTGCGCCGTCCATGCAAACAGGCGATGCATGCAAAGAAAATAGAAAAAATGTGCCAGATGTAAAAAATTGTTCCAGACCTTACTCGTTTAAACGTGTGCGTGGGTGTAGTGGGGAGCGGCGGTAGTGCAGTGGTTAGCGCCACGCTGCGCTACGAACCCAGTGGACCCGAAATCGATTCCCGCTCACGGCCAACACCAGTGACGATTATCTAAACCGGTCCTGGGCCTCCCCTAGGTCGACTCAGCCTCAAATTAGTAGCTGGTGCAGTACGTAAAACATCGCCACTGGGAAGACAAAGGCGGCCGGGCGTGGTCCTGGCCACCCAACCCCTAGTGTGCCTTCATAGGCGCTACTCGCTAACAGAACTTGCCCCTACAGTCTGTGTCAGGCTATACGGGGGATCTTTGTCTTTGTATATACTTGGTCTTTTTTCCCCCACCGTTATTTCTAATCCGGAAATGAGCCCATCGTGCCTTTAACACTGACTTGCGGTCACCCCTCCCCGAGCAGGCGAACCCCTGCGCGTGCGATGAGGAGGCTCTGCTCACTGCGACACGCTGCAATCTCGTCCGTGCGCCAAACCACGCTTTCCTTTTCACAGCGGCCGGCTGAAGGGGCGCTCCCTGCGTGCGCGCGTTCCACACCGTGTGTCTGTGCTTCCCGCGGGCGCACGGAAAACAAGACAACCTCAGAGTCGGCGATTTGAACGTTTCACGCCGCTGCACGACGTTCGCTCGCCCTCCGTTCGCTCGCCCTCGTACAGAGAGAGAGAACGGCTCGGAGACGCGAGCTGCCAAATCTGCCCCCACCGCCCTCCCCCCCAAACTTTGCGGTCAATTGTGAATGTTTACATGTGGGAGCAAAGCATAATTGTCCGAAAACAAAAAAATCCTCGCGTGAACGAGGGGGAAACGCTCGATCTCGTACAGACAGGGACAGGCGGAGTCCACATTTTGGCTGCGCAGCCTTCTCCTGGCGCGCCAGGGGTATGGCTCCTCGACGACGCCCTCGGGAAGGGAGTTTCACACCATTCACGCAGTGATCCACAAACCCCCTCGCTGCTGCTGCTGCCGGCACAGCACTGGCTTACAGGCAGCCACGAGCAGCGGCGTAGCCACCGCCTTTTCTTTCATTCCTTATTTTGACCTACAAAGTCGGCTACAAAATTGATGCCTGCGAGACGGAGATTGCTTAGAATGAGTTTTGTCCTCTCTTCTTCGATCTGCAATCTGTTGTTGTTGATGCTGCTGATGCTGCTGCAGGTTTTTGTTTTGTTGTCAGGCTCCCTGCGTGACGTGCCTCGCTCTCGTTGCGTTTGTTGGGAATGATTGCGATACACGTACGTAAAAAACGAATGTACGTACGTAGCCAGCCGTGCTAATCGGAGGTGCGGAAAGTGGCCGACGCGTGATTTGAATCATTGAGTGGCGTGGCGGACGCATGATTTGACCAGATCGGCCATCAACAGCGATTACCGTTGCCATTAATCAGCCGTCAGGACCAGACGGTCGTCGATAATCACCCCCCCCCCCCACCAGGAGCCACTCCCGAACAGCCGAGAATTGTGTAAAGAAATCGTTTTCGTGTTCAGAAAATCACGAATGAGATCCATGGGGTTTGTTAAACACATTCCTGTGTTTTACACAGGAGCTGGTAGGAACGTTGGGTTGCTCGGTCAATGGCCAGGGTCAACGGCGGCGTGGTGTATTCCGCAAATATGCCCGACTGTGAGGGCGGGCACAAGCCGGCGTGAGTAGGTTAAACGTTGAGTTTTATAAGGGCACCACGGGGTGACCAGTCCCTCCCCACCCAGCCCCACCCCACCCTCCCCACCCATCCCCTCCCCACCCTCCCCACCCAGCCCCTCCCCACCCTCCCCACCCAGCCCCTCCCCACCCTCCCCACCCAGCCCCACCCTCCCCACCCAGCCCCTCCCCACCCTCCTCTCCCCACCCAGCCCCTCCCTCCCCACCCAGCCCCTGCACGACGGACACAATAATCCCCTGTGGGCTGGTGTAACCAGGAGGTTCCTACAAGTATAAGAACTCGTCATTCGCGAGGGATATATATACGTTCTGAAGATGCTCGTGAATTGCACATTTCTCAGATAATGATATTGGCCGACGAACAGCTAACTTTTGAATGAATTACCTTAAATAAATACGTAAGTAAGCTATTAAATACGTTTAAAGTATTATAATAACACGCAAAAAATTGTTGTAATAAACACAGTAAAAACAAATAAATATTAAAGTATTAAATAATAGCTTATAAATTAACTTACCTTAAATTATGATGATGCTCATCATAACTTTATTTTATCACTTTATCTCTCATCGCTTTACCTCGTCACTTCTAGCATCACTTTATTTATTTCTCCCTCTGGATGCGCTAGTCGTGCGGAGTTGCAGACGGGATTCGCGGATAGCCAAGAATCGCGGATGGCGAGTTCGTGAACAGCGTTGGAATTTTTCGATTTAAAGATTTCGTGACTGCAAGGATTCATCTTCTTGGTTCTTTCGGTAAAGTCGTCACGTAGAAGGGAAGTGAGGGAACGCCGTACTTTCTCTAGTCTGCACGAATTCAAAAACGTAAATTGGAGGCGATGATTCCACGATTCAATATTTTTTTGCCGCCTGCGCCCCCAATCCCGTCAGCTCTTGGGAGCTGACGAGGCTTGAGACCATTTGGTGCTCGAATTGGCGACTGCCTTGGGGTTGCCAAGATTGAGCCGCGAGGTGGCCAGGAGAAGGCAGTACGTGAGTAGATTATTGTATCTGGAAGCGTATTATTAAATAAGATACATTACAATTCCTTATAGGGGAAACAAACACTAACTGATTGCTAATGTAACATAATCACAATAAAACACATGCCAAATGATTACTAATCTACAACTCGCATCGTAACAACTGCCTGATTACTAATCTAGTAGATAATTACAATAACCCCCCAAATCGTTGCACCTGATAAGTTAATGAGTTAATGATGACGTCACCCTGCTGCTGCTCTATATAAGACCGGGAGACAGAGCAGAGCCTCACCATTCTGGTGAATTGCCCGATGATGCTGGGTGCAATTACCAGCGAAACGTCGTACTCAAATTGTAAATGTTGTGGTTTCACGCTTCAACACACCGGTGGGCTAAAGCAGTGAACTTTTTGTCAACGTGACACTTTTTTACTGATTGGCCGTGTCGGGTGGTGGAGGGTTACGACACATTTATAAATAACGCGATCTAAACCCAAAAACGTTGATTATGATTATTGTATCTGTCTGCGCGGAACTTTGAGTGTTACCCTATCGCATGCAGTGGGGTTTTCTCCGGCCGCTCCTGCCTTGTTCCTCCCGAACGCTCGCTTACATGGCACCGCTCCCAAACATCCCAATGCAGGACCCTCCTGTAAAGGAATCTTGAGGCTCAGTTGGGACTTCGATTACTATTATTAGTATTTTCCTTTACGAATGACAGCCGTTCTTTCCGTCAATACCGCTGTGGTCGAGCGAGGCCTGTTTGTTGGACTGCGAGTCGTCCCCTGACAGGTTTTAATCCGCACGCTTCCAATTTGGCCCTCTTTTATTCCCCTCTGCCATTGGGTAACATATGTGGAAATGTCACCCCCGACGTTTTAAATTGCACACGTGCGGCGGCAAGCACGCGCGTGTGGCTTGAATAAAGCCGCCGCTTTTGTACTTTTCCAAAACTGTGCCTCCTGTGATTAGACTGGTATATATACGAGCTGCATTTATCCACAACAGAAATCGTCCAAACGCGGCTGGACGGAGGACAAGGCACTCCTTCTCTCCCAT